CAGGGGATGAAGCGGCCGTAGTTGTGGGGTTTCAGCAGCAGCTCTTTGAGGAACTGCCAGAGGTGGATGGGTTGGCCGGCGCAGGATGAGTCCACCTCGCTGTCCGCCCAGCTGGCATCACCTCCTGCCGCGGGAAGGGATGGGTGAGATGGAGGTGGGGAGAGACCTCTCTGCTTTGCACTGCCCCAGGGACCTGCCAGAGGTGGATGGGTTGGCCGGCGCAGGATGAGTCCACCTCGCTGTCCGCCCAGCTGGCATCACCTCCTGCCGCGGGAAGGGATGGGTGAGATGGAGGTGGGGAGAGACCTCTCTGCTTTGCACTGCCCCAGGGACCCGCACGAGTCCTCGTCCGGGAAATCCCGGCTTGATGCCTGTGGGTCTCTGGAGACTCAGTCCAGGCACTGGGTCTGGAAGCACCGCTTTCTCCTCCCCATCTTGGAGCGGGGAAAACAGCTCGGTCCTGCCCTTGTGCAGCCCCGCAGGGATGCACGGGGTGCGGGACAGGGCCGGCGAGGGTCTCGTGGCTATTTCCCCTTCGCTGCACCTTGCAGACAGCCCAGGGGCTGCTCCGGGGCAGAGGGAGTGCAACCACATGGATACTGCTGCAGCAGCCGCTCCAATGCATCAGATAATTGCAATTAAGCAGGGAGCGACCTCTCAAATACCCTGGACCTCTCTGAGGCAGAAGCGAGGCCAGTGGAGCTGAGCCCGCGCAGAACTCACCGCAGTATCTCACATCTCCCGGGGAGACTTTTTCCTTCATCCAGGCGGCTGGAAGGGAGGAGCGGGTGGTCAGAGGGGCATCTCCTACTGCACAGCATCACCCACCCTCCCCAGCTCCCTCCCGGTCCTTGGCACCTACCAGACTTCCAGATGTCGAGGTGGGCGTGCAGGATGTCACCGCAGGTGGGCGAGCGCTGGCAGAACTGCTCCTCGGACATGGCACACAGGTCCTTTCCCGACAGCTCCTGGAAGGACTTCCCGATCTGCGGCAGCCGGTACTGGTGCTCTGTCCACAGGATCCACTTCTGCACGTTGCCGGGGCTCCAGTCCGCGGGGTCTGGAGGCAGAGGGTGAGCACGGCAAGCGACAGCCCGGGCAAAGCCCCGGGGAAACTCAGCTCACCCCACAGCGGTCCCGGGAACCTGGCCCCTCCTGCCCCGCTGCAGCATCACCCACCAGGGTGGGAGCACCCCGCTCCCAGCCTGCCCTGGTCCCTGGGGACAAGACTGTCCCCTTGCCGCCTCCTTCGCTTTGGGAAGCCTCATCAAGCCTTTTGGAGCCCCACTTGTTCCCTGCACCATCCCGGGTGACACCAAATGCTTCAAGGGAGTGGGTGGCAGAGCTTGCATAAGCCTAAGCACATCCCAAGACTGCTTGTGTCACGGCAGTCATGCCCCGAGGAGAATACCCCAGCGATGCCCAATGGCAGCAATACCCCAGGGAACTCGGTCCTGGGCTGTCCTACTCCCCTCGCACCCAACCCCACGTGCAGCTCAGGCAACATCAGCTGGCTTCAGGCTGTCCCCCACCCTACACGCTCATGCTCGGTCCTGGGCTGTCCTGCTCCCCTCGCACCCAACCCCACGTGCAGCTCAGGCAACATCAGCTGGCTTCAGGCTGTCCCCAACCCTACACGCTCATCTGCCCGTTCCTAACGTCCCAGGGAAAACGGGATAGAGAAAAGGATAATAAAAGTCCCGCTGTCTGCTCCTTGCTACCGCACACCCTCCCCAAGAGGTGTGCAAGGCTGAAAGGTGCCTCAGTAATGATGCCCTGGGAAGAGAAGACACCCCCAGCTCAGGGGAAGGGACAGGCTCAGCATCGGGTCGCTGTGTCCCTGCACCTCTCTGGATCCGTGGCACTGGCTGGGTCACACTGGCACCCCACACCCAGCACAGGGCTCTGCGTAAAGCTCTGCTAACCCCTGCCTCAGCTTAACTCCAAGCCAGCGAGGCCAGAGGGGTATTTTGCTGGCATCCCTGGGCGTTAGCAAACAGCCCTGCCCTGGAGCGATGCCCTGGGGGAGCCAGGCAGCAGCCGTGCTCCCCCAAACCCCAGTACCTGGTTGCAAACCCCCGAGCTGCAGCACAGCCTTGTGCTGTGCTGCACCGGCCCATCCCTCCCTCGCTGCACCCCGTGGCGGGACCGACCCTGCCCGCAGACCCCCGGGGAGGGCTGTGGGGGCACCCACCTGCGGCGATGTTGAGGAGCTTGCAGGCTGTCTCGATGTCCTTCAGCACTTCGCCCACCACCATGCTCTGCACCTGCTCCAGCGAGTGCTCCTCCAGGTGCAGGCTGGCCTGCAGGTCCCCCTCGGCCCCCAGCCCCAAGCCCTGGCTGTCGATGATGGGACATTGCTCCGGCTCCTTCTGCGCCTCCCCTCGCCCCCCTTGGGCATTGCTTTGCGACGGTTCCCCCATGCCCTTGGTGGCCCAGGCGACGTCCTCCGAGTAGAGCATGTCGAAGTAGTGCAGGCAGAAAGCAGGCAGGGGCTGCTCGGGGAGCATGTCGATGCAGGCAGAAAGCAGGCAGGGCAGGGGCCGGGCGAGACGGCTGTGGGGCAGAGCAGTCAGCCCGGGGCTGGCACTGCCCATCCCTCCGCTCAGCGCCGGCTCCAAACCTGCCGGGAGAGGAGGAGAGGAGAGGCTCACCCCGGCACCGATTCCTGCCTTCCCGCCCAGCGGCCAGGCACAAAGGGAGGAACTAAGCCTGTTAGAGGGGAAAAAACCTCCAAAGAGACCCACGGTGTCCTGTGAGCCCCCGGATGAATGCAGGCTCGGGGTCAGCCATGGGGCTGGGGGGGCTGTCCTGATTTTGGGAGGACCAGCCGCAGCAGCCAGCAGGGAGAAGGAGCCCGGGGAGCGAGCAGGTCCCAAGCACCGCGGGCTTTTAGGGTCTTCCCCCGAATTGCACACCGGGTTGGCAGCAGTTCAGTCCCAGCTGGGGCTGAGCACCCTTCCAGGAGGCAGCGGTGCACGCTGGAGGGGCTCCAAGGCACCTATGCAGGGCGGCCCACGGGCATCAAGGGCTGCGGGATGCCTAAACCACACAGGCACGTTTCTGTGCATGGACAACATCACCTGCTGCTTTCACCCGAGGATGCCCCAGCAGCGACGGCACCCAAACCCGGCTCTCCTGGGCTGGGGACCGAGCCCAGCACCACAGCACCCAGCTCTCGGCCGCTGCTGCCAACCCCCGGACAAGAACTTTCCTTTTACTCTCTTGCAAGAAAAACTACCCAAAACCAGCCTGTCCCCATCTGTCTCCGGAACGCGGGGAGTCCTGGAGGCCACCGAGAAGAGGATGAGCCTGCTGAATTTCCATGGCAACACCAGGGAATGGCTCCATCCGTGGAGAAACCTCCCCAAGAGCCATCCTGAGGCTTTGGGAAGAGAAAGCCCCTGCCAGGGGAGAGGCTGGGG